CCACAAGAAAAACGTGGTTTTTTAAAAAGTTTTTTTAAGTATTTTATTATTTTATGTCTAACAAATGTACAAAAGTTGATAGTGTAAAAGACAGAACATCATGTCTCGAACAGGTCAAAAAGCACAGCTTCACATTGGTTTAATAAACCAAGGGATATAACTCCCCTTGACTCCATAAAAAATTCCTGCACTTAATTAAACAGTAGGGAGTTGTTCTCCATTTCTTTTGTCTTGTATAGGATAAGTGAGTGTGGAATATAGAAATAATATATAACACTGTCCTTGGTGTTCTTATATTAGAAAAATTCCGACTATTTATAATGGTTTGTTAAAATAACATTATATACTTTCATATTTTAATATAGATTTTGGAAATAAAAAGTTGCAAACGTATTCTTACAAAGATGCGATTCACCTTTGTTTCTGATGTCCACACTTTTAAAAAAATTGCTTTATTATTTGTGAGAAAAAAAAATGGCTGTATGGCCTATACTATACCAAATGTGTAACCGTTGAAGTGATTTATAACATTATTAGCAGTTTGGGGGAGGGGGTACGAAACGCCCTATTTTTGTGGTACATGTAAAACTACAAGTCGTTACATTATATGCATGTCTAAAACACACGCACTTAAGATAATGGATTTTTAAAGTAATTAGACTTTCAATTACAAATAATTAATGGCTATTTAAAACTCTAAATGTAATGGCTATTTAAAGCAACTGATGAAATAAACTCTTTTAAAAACCAATTAGCTAATTAGATTTAAACACTATGTTGTCAAAACAGAAAACTTGTTTCGGTTTTATCCCGTGTTACGGCGTGGCTGAGTGGTAGAGCTCTCGACTGCTATCCCAAAGGTCTTGAGTTCGGATCTCGGTTCGGACCTGTGACTGTTGGACGTCCCTGAGCCTACTGTTACGTTCCGGGTAAGTTTCAACTGAAGAGACGATTCGTGTTTACTTCAATACCTTTATTTAGTCTCAATTCTTTACACATAACAGAGCAGCCCTCGTCCTAACCGCTACCAACTAACCGCTGACCCCCTACAATCGTTCACTCCCCCTTTTATACCCGCATTCGACCTTGGGATTACAATACATAAACATACAAGGGTAACTACACAGTAGGGTGAACTCAACTCACACACGCACTCTCCCCTAAGCTCGAGACTATTCTACCCTATTCTACCCAGGGGCGTAGCGAGGGGGGGGGTGCGGACCGCACCGGGTGACACCATTTAGGGGGGTGACACAAGGCAAAAAATAGCAAAATATATAGAGAAAAACTTGAGGGGGGGTACAAATCGAAAACTTGAGGGGGGAGGGGTGCAAATCAAAAGTTTGAGGGGGGGGGGTGTGCAAATCGAAAACTTGAAAGTTTGTCCCCGGGAAGGGTCGCTACGCCTCTGGGGGGTGACACCATTAAGTGCCGCACCGGGTGACACCCGACCTCGCTACGCCACTGTTCTACCCTGACCTCAAATGACCCGTAACAACTACCCAGCTCTGATGGGTACCTGACTCACGTAAGGAAAAGTAAAGGCGACTGGGCATAGTGCTGACCACACCATCCCGTTATCAAGATCAGTGGCGTAGGCAGGGGGGGGGGTTAGGGTGGGTCATAACCCCCCCATAGACCCCTCGGTATATATAAAAAGTATGAGGGGGGGGGTGCAAATCGAAAGTTTGAGGGGGGGGGGTGCAAATGGAAAGTTTGTCCCCGGGTAAAGATTGGAACCCCCCCTTGAGACGATCCTGGCTACGCCACTGATCAAGATACATGTGATGATTAGGTCTGGGAGGGGAGATTTACTTTTCTTATTATCTTTTATTGCCCACATTTATAAACGTGTGCGAATAACAAGGTATAACTTGTTCGTTCTTAATTTTTAAGTGTTTGAATGGATCCTATCCAACACAATTAAGTATACGTGTCAACTGATTATGCGGCATTGAGGCCATTGACTCCGATTTCAGCCTGCTTTTCTTTTTTTTGGATTTGCTTCCATAGCCTTTGTCCAACCAAGAACAAACTACAAGACTTTACATTTTAGCAACCATGAGCTTTACCGACTTGACCACGCCGACCCATTAGGTATAATTATGAAACAAAGTTTTCACCATGAAAATCACCATAAAACCGAGGGTGGTGATACCAACCCGATAGCTCTGAGCGCTCACTGAGTTACAGGTACGAAAATCACGTGGTCACTAAATACTCAAGCACGTGATTCCTAACTACCGAAAGTAAACACAAAACGTGATGATGCTTTAGTTTTTCAGAATGTAGACTTTTTTGTCGTCTATTTGAAATTCTCCTTTTCCTCTTTATCTATATTCACTTTTATTATCTAATACGGTGGGAGTATAGATATCCTAATTAATTAACCAGGTACTGATTAAAAACAGACCAAAGTGTACCTAACATACTTTAATTAAATACATTTCACATAAAACCGTATTCAAATCACCCCCCCCCCCCCAACAATTATTTCTAATGAAACAGTCGGGTTACAAATCAACCTACTTAAATGTAAACAAAATGTTGTTTTTCCAATCCACGACAACACAATGACGTAATGGGGTGATCCACTTTATAACACCTGAGGGGAAACATGTGGTTGTGGGTAGCAGTTGAACTACATTTTTTTTACAACCCTTAATTTGTGTTAACTGGCGCTCCATTATCACCACCCCCACCCCAAGGGTAGTTTCTTCAACCCCCTCCCCAAGTCCTCACACGTAGCATCACGTGACACCCAATCACGACGACGCCAACACGTCACGTGACGAACACACCGTACATTTGTACTTCCGGTCTTTTGCTGACGTCACTCAGCACTGACCAAATGGTGGACGTGACTTGCGTCATTGGCGTAGCTAGGGTGGGGTGGGATGGGGCATGGTGACGGGAGGGGGGGGGGGTCTTTGCTTCTCACAACCCAAATCTATTGAAAAATTAAAGCCAAACACACAAAAAAACCTACCGCCTTCCCCACAACCCACTGAGAGCAAAAAAAAAGCCATGTATAAAGCCTAGGTCCATGCGTACTAAAACAACCAAAGCCATCAATGAAAACCAGAATATTCACAAAACCATAAAAACAAAGCTAAAGCCATTTTTCTTGTAAAATACATTTTCATTATTTGTATCACTAGTACCCAAGATAAACGGGCATTTGAAATCTAGCTTAGCTGTTTCAGAGGCGTCTTCCTACAATCGGTCTTTGTATGTCTTAGCTAACTCATACACCCATCACGGCTGGATGGACCCTGGGACGTCCAACTATCTCCATCCCCCGGGATCCAACTTTTTTTTTTCTACTGTGGAGCTGGACTGCTAACCCGTAAGTCTCAAGTTTGAATCCGGGTTCCAGTCAGTAGACCGTCCCTGAGTCCACCCAACTCTGATGGAAAAGTAAAGGCGGCTGGGCATAGTACTGACCACACTATCTCATCATATGCCGAGGTCACAGAAACAAGTGAACTCTACTTCACTTGCTCCATTGACCGTCAGGTTTGAAAGGGAACTTCACTTTACTATGCGACCACGCCATCCCTCCAAAATATTATATCTAACAGTGGTTCTATTTACATACAAGGTTTAGACTATCTTTTAAAAGTGCAACCTATTTTTTTTTTATTAAAAACGCATGTAAAAGAAAAATACGCACTTAAAAAAAAAAAAAACATTACTTAAAAATTCACTTTTATTATTCGTAAAGTGGGATGGCCATAACTGACGCGCAGATTTTTTTGCAACATATTTTCCCATTATATTAATTGGCAATATAGCGAGGGGAAAAATAGATGGAAGGAATATATGATGATCTTTAAAATATAATTAGAAAATTAATTTCTTAATGCATGCTGTTAATTAAGATGTGCCTGGTTTTAGAGGAGGGTTGCGGAGGTGTGTGTTAGCTTCTGAAAACTTGAGATCACGTGTTAGAATGGACGTGTGCATGTGTGTGTGTGGGGAGGGGGGTGATTGAGGGGAGGGGGGCGCATGTTAATGTGTTCTGTGGACTAAACTGCGATGGCATTGTGTAAGAACCTAAATAAACAGAAAACTAATTTGTGCTTTTTGTTGTTGTTTTTTTTTTAAATTTGATTGATCAGTTTGGTTAGAGGCGATGAGAATCAGCGTCAATAGTGTTTCGTAGTATCTAGTAGCTACTGTCATTACAATTTATGTTTTCTGTATCTTTGTCTTTGTAAGGACTAAGAAATAACACTGTAATTCCCTATTAAAATTTCAAGGCTAGGGTTTTACTGTTTTATGTTTCGGTAAGGGTTATAATAAGTTTATTAATATTCTTCTTCATCATCATTTGTTCCCGTTCGTGGCCAAGACACATGGAGCAGATGAAGTAGAGTTCATCTGCTTCAGAAACCTCAGCACGTGAAGGGATAATGTGATCAGCACTATGCCCAGCCGCCTTTGTTTCCCTAACGTGAGTTAAGTACCCATCAGAGTTGGGTGGACTCAGGGACATTATAGTGACTTGAACTCGGATTCGAACTCGAGACTTTCAGGTCAACAATCTAGCTCTACACCTTTATTCAGTAGCAGCTAAATGTTGAACGCCTTAGTTAACAAACACACTGAGCAATGGTTGTCTTTTACTTCTACAAACTTAAATGTTTGTAATAGAATAAATAAATTTGCATTTATTAACAGTATACTTCGATATGTTTATCAGTTAGGGGCATTCAGGCATTTGTCGCATTCGAGCAAGTGTCCATTCGGGCATTTTCGCATTCAGGCATTTGTCGCATTCGGGCAAGTGTCCGTTCAAGCATTTGTCACATTCGGGCATTTGTCGCATTCGGGCAAGTGTCCATTCGGGCATTTGTCGCATTCAGAAAAAAGGCCTTCGGACAAGTGTCTTCGGGAATTTATCGTGGATCCATAAAGTATTACATGGGTCGCGAGTCAGGTAGTGTCACAGTTTATCTGTTACACCTGTCTTCTCACCTGGACTGAGGCGTCAGTTCCGTCATGCTGCCGCTACAGGAGGACAGGACGCTGCTGGTGCTCCTGGACCGGATGGAGTCGCCGCGGTTGATGAGGCCCTTGGGGGTGGTGATGAAAGACCTCAGGGGTTGAAGGCTGTGATGAACATCATCAGTAAAATATAGCAGAAATATCTTTCATTAATTCATAACGTTCACGTTTGCGTGCCAAGAAATAGTTTGGCCCCTAAACCAAATTTATACCGTGTATTCAATAAAACTGAGTTGGCTCAAATAAATGGCTACATCCCAAGAAACATTGGAATGCCTAGCCTAGAAAATTAAACACGGCACCTAACTCCCACATTGAGTTAGATGACTTTTATTACACTTTTGGCTACCTGTCCTTTTCTAACAATAAAAAACCCATTTGAACCTTACGGTTCATGGGGCATGTGAAGTAGAGTTCACCCTTTCCAGTGACCTCGGCATATGCAAGGATAGTACGGTCAGCACTATGCCCTGCTGCCTTTACTTTCCTTAACGTGAGGCAGGTACCCCTGCTGAGCTGGGTGGATTCATGTACGTCATACAGACTCAATCCCTGGATCCGAACTCGAGACTTTGGGATTATCAGTCGAACGCTCTACCACTCGACTGTTACGTCTGGGTTTTGATCAATGCAGAAAACGATCCGAGAAAATGTTCAATACTTTTATTTGTTCTCATCTTTACACATTACACAGCAGCCCTAGTCTCTAGACGCTACCAACGAAAAGCCCCCTTTACAATCGTTCACTCCAGCTTTTGTACGTGCACTCGACCTTAAGATAACAATACCAAAACACCCCTGGGTTAACTCAACTCAACTCACACGCCTCTACCCTACGTTCTACACTATTCTAGCCTACTCTAATCTAACCTACAACTGATACGTAACATATCACATCGTCAACCGCCCCCATTTTTCTCCTGCTGTATTGCCTTCTTCTTCTTCGTTCTTAATTTAGTATACGATGGAGGATTTAAACAACAAGCCATACTTCGTGTATGACCTTGCCCCAGCAACAAAACTAGCACCCACCTGGGACGGAGTGGTCTAGCGGTAGAGAGCTGTCTTGCTAACCAGTAAGTCTCGAGTTCGAATCCGGGTTCTAGTCAGTAGACCGTAACTGAGTCCACCCAACTCTGATGGGTACCTAATTCACGTAAGGAAAAGTAAAGGCGGCTGTGCATCGTGCTGACCACACTATCTCTTCATATGCCGAGGTCACAGAAACAAGTGAACTCTACTTCACTTGCCCCATAGACCGTCAGGTTTGAATGGGAAACTTTTTACTATACCTGTTCTCGTGATCTGTGATGGGAGACAGGTACCGCATGCCTGGCCGGATGATGTCGTTGCGTGTGGGCAGGGACGTGGTCCTGGGCCGCATCTCCTCCAGCTCCACGTTCTCCAGCCGGCGGCGGGGCTTCTTCAGGGAGGAGGATCTGGGCTTCGTTCTCGGGCTCACGTGAAGGGCCGCCATCTTGCGGGTCACGTGACTGCACCGTGTTGACGTCACGTCTGCTAATTCTAAAAATAAAAATAAAAATTATAATGAACATACGTGTATTTATAGATATGTATTTATATAGGCCTATACATGTGTGTATATAAATCTCTCTCTCTCTCTCTCTCTCTCTCTCTCTCTCCCTCTCTCTCTCTTTGTATATATATATATATATATATATATATATATATATATATATATATATATATATATATATATATATATATATATATATATATATAACAGGGATGGAGTGGTCGGATTGTATAGCTCAAGACTGGTAATCTGAAAATCTCGAGTTCGGATCTCGTGCTCGGGTCTGTAGGGCATCCGTGAAGGACCCAGCTCTTATGGGTACCTGACTCATGTTAAGGAAAAAAAACGCAGCTGGACATAATGTTGACCACACCATTATCTCCTCGTATGTCGAGGTCATTATAATGCAATCTTCCCCATGTGTCTTGGGAACGAACGGGAAAAGAGGATGATGATTACTACCTTAATGTCCTATGGTAACTAGACATATATAGTACAGTCATGACTTTATATATAGACATGACAAGAAATATATAGTAAAGTTACCCTCACAGATCGGTGGGTCACTACTGCAGATAAAGTAGAGTTTTTGTTTCCGTCCTCGCCCAATGAACGGATAATACGGTCAGTTCTATGCCCAGCCGCTCTTAACATTACCCGACTTAGATTTGGTCGGACTCTGGGACAAGAGCTTAAATCGAATTAGAGATCTTCGTATTGTAATCAAACGCGTTACCGTTCGACCATACTATATAATGTTATATTACACTATATCACACTCTGTCATATTGCTCAGTACTTAACCCAAATCCTTAGCCTAAACACTAATTATACCTTTAATCCATCCCCAGCCAGAACCTAATCTAAACTTCTAACCTTCTTCTAGTGTTCTTCTGAATCAATTGTATCTAAAACTAGTATGCAATCTACGAAGATCTTTCATGTTAGAAACATGTTTTAAAAATCCAATTTTCTTAGAAAAACAAAAGAAAATTAACTTAATTAACTAAACAAAGGCATTAAATCGAAATATTCTATCGAATCACTTATAAAAATGTTACTAACACATAGCTTTCAAAATTCGTTGTTGCGAACGTTCAGATTAGGCTTATAGGGAAACATTTATGTCGACGACTTACTGGCGTCGCAAGGCGGGTGAGGTTGGGGGGGGGGGGGGGTCAAAACCTGTCGCCCCGAAACCGGTTACTTACACCATTTAGGGAATGATGTCATGACGAAAAATCTAAAACTACAGTCAAAATAATGATTATCCAGTTAAGATAACAGAATGGTAGAGGGAGGGTGGTAACACCGCGCGGACAATACCAAATTGTTGGAGTTGGGTGGGGTGACAGGGTCAGTTGCATCGTTGCAGCGACACCCGACATAGCGGCACCACTGCAATAACATTACAACTTTTAGCAGTCGAACGCTCTACTAATTGACCACGCCTTTCAATAAAAACATTCCCCGTGTAATTCGTATACTAGGTAATAAAAACCAACAGATTTTACTTCTAATGAAGTACTAGATTTGTACTGAAAAGGATCGTGTGATAAAAAACATAGTTCTTGTATCTTTAGTAACAACAGCAGGTCTTTTTGTCATAAACTGTTGTGTTTCCTAATGTAAGAGTTAATCCAATTTCATGTTTTAAAAGCGAATAAGACAAGTGTATATTTACATATTAAGTAAACAGATTTGTGTATATTATTTATTAAAATTTGCAAGCTTTAAGCTATTTTATTATTTTTAACTCTTTCGGATTAATTTTACGCTTTGTCGTATTTTTTTCTCTCTGTGTTTTTCTATTTAAAAAAAAATGAAACAAAAAATTCGCATTTTTTATAAATCAACAATGTTAATCGTTGCTGCGTTGTCAGACGCCATTAACGAGCAAATTGCAGGTGCTTCAAGGTCACCATTCCTCCCCTTGTAACATTAAAAACTCTAACCCACTATTCAACACGTCATCATCCTTGTGATAAATAGACGGAACAATCCGCTGTTGGCGACACACCACAAACAGAAAATTTCCATAGCAAAGATGAAAACTGTTCACGATATTCACTTTTGGGAATACCCGAAGTGTGCGATTGCGTCATGAGTAAAGATCCACAGGGATATTTTTTGGCAGACACATCGCATACAAAAAAAATTAAAATGATAACCACACAAATATAGCCTACATTACACATTTTCCAAATCGTTTTTTTAATCTCATGAATTGTGTAATGTGGTTTACAATATATAAGATGACGCAGGTTTGCAATGTGGGTAAAGGAATGAAAGCTGGTCCTACCAACAACTAAAGCCGTTGAATGTGGTTTTAACAGAAGTTAAAAATAAATATCATAATAATTGGCAATAAGTAGCATCCGAATAAAAGTAAATATCTGTACAATTAGCAGAAAGTAGCATCAGAATAAAAGTAAATATCTGTATAATTAGCAGATAGTAGCATCAGAATAAAAGTAACGATCTGTTTAATTAGCAGATAGTAGCATTAGAATAAAAGTAACTATCTGTATAATTAGCAGATAGTAGCATCAGAATAAAAGTAACGATCTGTTTAATTAGCAGATAGAAGCATTAGAATAAAAGTAACTATCTGTATAATTAGCAGATAGTAGAATTAGAATAAAAGTAAATATCTGTATAATTAGCAAATAGTAGAATTAGAATAAAAGTAAATATCTGTATAATTAGCAGATAGTAGCATTAGAATAAAAGTAACTATCTGTATAATTAGCAGATAGAAGCATTAGAATAAAAGTAACTATCTGTATAATTAGCAGATAGTAGAATTAGAATAAAAGTAAATATCTGTATAATTAGCAAATAGTAGAATTAGAATAAAAGTAAATATCTGTATAATTAGCAGATAGTAGCATTAGAATAAAAGTAACTATCTGTATAATTAGCAGATAGTAGCATTAGGATAAAAGTAACTATCTGTATAATTAGCAGATAGTAGCATTAGGATAAAAGTAAATATCAGTATAATTAGCAGATAGTAGCATCAGAATAAAAGTAACTATCTGTATAATTAGCAGATAGTAGCATTAGAATAAAAGTAAATATCAGTATAATTAGCAGATAGTAGCATTAGAATAAAAGTAAATATCAGTATATTGGTAGATAATTTTAGTGTTGGAAGGGGTCCCCCTCCAACACAATTAAAGATACGTGTCAACTGGTTATGCGCTATTAAGGCAATTGACTCCGATTTCAGCTTGCTTTTCTTTTTGGATTTGCTTCCATAGCCTTTGTCCAACCAAGAACAAACTACAAGGCAGCAGTTGTTTGATTTTGGAGCTGTCTCTCCTAGACGAGTGGCTGTCCCCAGCTAACGAGCCTTATCTGCCCGGTGGCAGATGAGGCTTTACCGACTCGACCACGCCGACCCCTGTGTGTAATCAAATTTAATATGACACCGATAATTTTTTTATAAAAGCCGTTTTCCGGATGTCATTTTTTTTTACCTACTAAAGCAATGTCGCTATGACAGCTAATGCATTAATAAAATAAACGTAATTGATTCCAGTAATAAAAACACATTCTGTTTTCCCAAGTCTATTTCAGTCTCTGGTCCAAATATTTTGACAATGATGAATTGCCACTCTGGGTTACGAAGCGTAGGAATTTTCCTCTCTCCTGATAGTTCCATGTTTGCGCCATTCAATGAAGAATTCCCGGGTTCAATTTATAATTTTTTTTTCTGGAGTTATTTTTAAGCTACCTGTGCTGTTTACTGCAATGACAGTTTAAATATTTCTTGCTTGTTTAGTGAGAGTTGATATTATGACTTCTTCGCTTTCGTTCTTAATTGGGGGGGGGGTGGTGGGGGGTGGCCGGGCGCTCCCTCTACAGCCCCCCCCCCCACGAAATGGAATTTATATAGAAAATATATACTTTTAACAGTGTCCGCCCCCCCCCCCCCTCTCCCGGATATTTTAGTCCGCTCCCCGAAAATTTCAATTGCCCCCCCCCCTCCCCGGAGAAAAAAAAGTCTGAAAGAAACACTGTCATACACGCACCCATACGCACCATATTACAAATCTCTGAAATAGATCTTCATCCCATTCCACATTCTCCTACCCCTCCCCCCTCTCCCAACATTCACGGACCTTAGAAATTAGGCAAGAACCGAACTCTGGGCTTTGAACTCCAGCCACGTAATGCTCACCTCTGTAGCACCGCTCCAGGGTGCCATTAAACCTAATAGAATCTCACAGCTCGAGATTTGCTGCCGCGGATTGAGTCCGCTGAATGTTGACTCCTCGACTCCTGGAGTTTAATTAAAGTCCATTCCTGACTCACATTTTTTTTTACCAAACGCACGAGAATAGTTTTTGACGTGTTTATACTTATTTTGTAAAGCTACTGGGAAAAGTTGTAATAACAACAACTCCCCTAACGGCTGTTATACTAATATACAAATAAGTTCAGAAATGTTATTGATAAACTGTACAGAAAGTGGGAAGGCGTGGTCGAATTGTAAAGCATACCCCTGCTAAGCCAAATGTATAGAGTTCAAATCCGGGTCCAAGTCAGTAGAACTTTCTTAAATCGGTAGTTCTAAAGAGGATTCTTAACTTTTTTTAAACCACTTATCCTGATTTATTTATAGTCGTAACACTTACCCTAATCTTGTCCCTAATAATGTAAGCGGTACCGATTAAAGACTACCCTAACCTCGACACAGTAGTGGGTTACTGGCAGTCATAGTAATGCCACTCTTCCATTTGCATCATTTTGCTTTACTTTCTCGTATACAAGGTATAGCGGAAGTATTGCAATCGTGCAAAAAAAATCGAGATTTTTGCAAATCTCGACGTTTTACACGTCCCTGAGTCGAAAAAAAACCATAGTTTTGCAATTTTGTCCGAATGTCTGTGTAAGTGTGCACGATTACAATACATCCTCTATGCTTCGTATACGACAACGTAAATATTCGAGAAAGTCTATTTTGTATGACACACCC